CACAACAGTCTGCTGGCCTGAACGATAACATATACAGTCTATTTATTACCAATTTCTGAAAAAACAGTACTGTACTGTTCACTTTGAATGTCAAATTACTTTGTCATTTTTGTATGAAGACCTTTTTATATAATATACAAACCACCTTTTTGATACAGGAAGTCCCGTTTCTCTGTGCAAAAGTGACACTGGACTTCCTGGAGGCTGCAGCAGCCCCCATGTGACACTTATGTACAGAGTGGACATGACCACACTTTTCTAAACTAAACCAATTAAAAAATAAGTCTAAAGTCTAAACCAACCAACTGAGGACCCCGATATTTTCTGCACAGTGATACTGTATGGTTAGTGTGTGCAGTTGGGTAAAAGAAAACAGTTCCTACATTAAACTGCTCAATACAAAGTTTTTTGATTGTCTTCAGTAACTGGATCATGATTTCTGGTAAGAGACACTGCTGTTGAATTTTTCAGATGTATTTTTCTGGCACCACAGAAAGAATGCCATTCACTCCCATTATATTCGAGAGAAGCCCGACCGTTCTATGGCCGATATCTCCAAAACTAGGCGACTTCCAGCAGAACCACTTAGATGGCTAGATAGCAGTAAAACTCCTCTAAAACGTTTAAATGACCCACGACAATGTTCAATATTCTTCTAAAATCTGGCCAGCAGATCAACCTTTTTCTTTCCACAGAATAAAAAATGATGTAATGTTATCCTGCTAATAAGCGCTGGCAAGTTTCACCGGCATCACTGCCAATATTAGACGAAAGTATATTGGTTAGTGATCAAATTTTCTGATATAGAAATTTGGAGACATTAGCAAAAAATATACTAGGGTGATTCTCACGAAGTTTTTGTGAACATGCCTAAATCATAATTTACAAAAACAACATTTTATTACTATTACTTAAAATATTTTCTATAACAAGAATGAATAGTACTATAAGGATAATTGGTTTTTAATAATTTTTGCATAATTTTCATAATTATTAAACAAAATCCTGGTAAATTCTCAATTACGAAATGCATCCATATCCATTATTCTATTATTCCTTTTAATCCCCTAAAAAGTCCTATATTTGTATAAATAAAATAAAATCATGCAGTGTCTTGTAAAAATATGTACAATTATGCTAGATATGGATATTTTTGGTATGTAACAAAAAAATATTATATTGAAAATGATCATGGCTGCACTATTTTTTTCTCTTCATAGCAAACCGACTTTATCTTCCTATTAAAAACTAAACTGTCCCATGCAGTTTGACACAAAGTCAGTTGCTCTCTCTTCTCTCATGTTATGAAATTTTTATAAATGACATTGCATTTTCCTCCTATTACACTGTCGATTATCATTACCAATGTGGGGGTGATAATCTTTACTTTTAAAAAAATATGACATTTTTTTTGGGATAGAAAAGACGATATAAGACTTCAAAATGTAGCAGAGGTAGAGGTCATGTAGTATGACAGCATTTCAAGTTATTTGCCAACTTAGTTAAGAGCATCTCATTACCGTTACTCATGATGCTCATTACCATGTAATTTAAAGGCTCATATTCTTAATATAATGTTCATAAATTGAATTAACAGTTTGTTTCATTAAGTTTATTTACTTCTAACAATTAATAGTATATTAACTTCTAAAAATTATTAACTGTTTATTAACTATGCAATTGTAAT